AAATCAGAGGAGAGTTCATATGCTTTGTGAAGCAGAAAGCACATCCCCCTTCTAGGTCTCTTCTTTATAATTCTTTCCACAATTACAAAATAACTAAAAGCAAGGTTACCTGAAGACAAGGTTTCAACTAAGGCTATTCTGTACTTAGCTAGTTCCTGTCTCCACCAAAAGAGAACATTCATAAGATTCCTTACCCTATGGCCTGTTGGGGGACATGACTGTGGTATTTTTGTGAAGGAACAAGGTAGAATACTACTAAAAAAAATACACACACACACACACACATATCCAATTGCTGTCAATTAACAATGTATCAACACATTGCTATCACATATCATCTGAACATATAACATTTGTTCATATATTGACACATATATGCCCACACTCAGAAGATTCATTTTCCCAAAGTGTTTTTCTTTTCTAGTGGTGAAGGGCCCCTCCCACAATCTGTAGCACAGTTCCCACAAGGTGGTGGGGGAAGGTTCTAGGGAATAAAACTGGGGGAGGAAATGGGGCAGACTGCAGGGCTCCTTGCCCTCTCCCTTCTGTAATATAGGCTACTCAACAGATTGAGCACTTCTCCTGCAGGAGTGAGGAGAGAACCACAGTGTAAATTATGACCACCGCAGGGTCAAGTTGCTGTCTCTTGTAGGTGATGTATTCCCGTTTAAGAAGAATGCAGTTTAATAGCATGAGGGCAAGTTCACAGCCAGAGTTCCTGGGTCTGTCCTCAGAGTCCTTGCTTCTGCCACAAGCAGTGTGACCTTGGTAAGTCCCTTGCTCTCTAAACTTTAATTCTCTCATTTGTTCACCAGGCCTAATTATGGCCCACTGGGTTTGTTTACTAAGTCATCACAGATAATTTGACTTGGATCAATCATAGGGATCAATCTTTCAAGTTATGAATTACAACCACTGGAGATGTATAGAATCCTTCCTTCCTTCATTCTGGAATCACCTCCAATTAGACAAAACAAACACACTCTCGTGCTTTCCTTATACCTTTCCTCACCAAAGACATCTTAGTTTCCTTGTTTCCCTTATTATCTTTAGCTTTAATTACTATAAACTAATTAGAATTTTAATTCTTAGAAATCTTAATTTCTAGTGAAAACATAAATAGTAAGAAATTTTGAACTGTTCAGCATTTTTTATAATTTTAAGAAACATGTTTTTAATTAACAGACCCAAAAATATCTAGCTACTCTATGCCATATAAAAACAAGATGCTAAAATACATAACCTTATGCTTAGTAATTAACATTTTTAGTATTTTAACTTATTCAGAAATGACCCAGACATCTAGTGAGTTGCCTCTTACCTAATTTCATCTTAAGGTTTCAAGTTTCAAAAAAATATATATTTTTTGAAACATGAAGAGTTAATTTATAAACATTTATGCTGTTTATATTTACCTAATTTATTCATTTTTAAATAATTATGTTTGAATAGCTTATTAAAAACAAAGATAGCCATCTTTAATTTTATTTTTCTTTTGAAATAGCAACACCAAGCTAAAACTGCACCAGGCAGTCTTGACCTAACCAAGGTTTCTGAGTGGCCCAGCCACAGGTCCTTCATCAATACCTCCACCCCAGTTGTCTTGGGTTCCTAGCACCTTTGTGGCACTCCCATGATAGCTACAAAGAGCAAGACTAGCTGGGTCCTTAGTTCACACTCTAGATTCTGAGCCCAGGACAGAGTATGGGCTCATCTGGAGGATCTGATTCTTTCCAGCAAGGCAAGGAAGCCTAACTGGGCCAGAGAAGACAGAGGGGACCCTGCTGGGCCTGGACCCACCCTGTGGCTGGAAGCCCAGGTGCCACAGAGACATACATGTACCTAGGTCTTACCATGGCCACCTCCCCAGACCTGAGAGGCTCAAACCAAAGTCACAAATATCACAGAGGCAAAGAAACCGAAAAGCAAAGATTAAAATGTCAAACATGTTTCCCTTTTTCTCTCTTTTCACTCTCATGGCTGATATGCATCAAGGAATCCACTCTTATTGCTTATTTCGGCTTCTAGACCCGTGGTTTCGTGGCCTTTTATATCCAAGAGATAAACTTATTTAGTAAACTTACATTTAGAAATGTATGTATTGTAATTAATGACTTGATTCAAATCTTCAAGTTTTGTTTTGTTTTCTCTAAGTCAGAGCCTTTTCATGTATTTTGATGACAAATCACATACATGTAATGCACACCCAGACAGGATCTTACAGTTTTCATTGATTATTCATTTGTCAGTTTTTAAACAGTGTTCTTTTACTTCAGTGCACAAGAAAATAAAGCAAGAGGATAGATAAAGTCCCTGCAAATTTCCTAAAGCCAGAGTTCATACCTTTTGTAGTAATTGCCATTTATTGCTGCTTTCAGTCCAACCCTGTCAGGCACCTGTGGCCTCCGAGTGGATCTAATGTACTTAATTATCAGGTCCAGTGCAATCCTGGACCAGTACAGTTCTGTCACAACTTCCAATGATCATGTGCTCTGTCACAGGGCAAGTTAACCCCCAATTTGAAAGCTAAAAAGATGAGATGCTCAATGCAAAAATGAAGAAGTAAAAAAAGCAGAGTCCCACTATAGGATCTCACCCACCCACCACCTGCCTTCCACACACATACATAAATGCACTGCAGGATTAACATCCCCAGGAGTAGTTAATAATTAATCAGTGGGGAAAAGGGGCCAGTCAAGAGCCCCTCCTACCTATTATACTTCAGGTGGACAAAGCTAGGAGGTATTGTATATGCTACAATATACCTTAATTACACAACTCTTTGACTGGATCACTCACTTCTGCTGCCTGGGAGCACCTCCCAAATAAATTCTGCACACAAATCTTTGTCTCAGGCTCTGATTTCAGAAAATCCCAGTTAACACATGAGGATGTATTAATAAATTAATATTCTACATAATAAATTATTATATATGATGCATATACAAAATATATACATAATAAAGTATTACTATATATTATGAATACATGTATATATAAGATATTATCTAAAACCCCAAGTCAGAAATTATGAATATGTCACATAAAACCTCAGGCTAGGGGATTAAAAGACATATGAGACCTCCAAGTGCAGTGGTCTTCATGATTCCAAAGGTCAATAGATGTTGACCTTTGTGTCAGCATTCTGTTTTAAAATGTGTAGATTGGTCAGCTAACATTCTTCCTTACCCAGCAAGAATATGCAGATAAATACTAGCACTGAAGCAATTAGCTGAAGTAGATATTTCTGCAAATACAGCGTTTCTTTGTGGGCCTTGCTGTGGGGAGGACACACCTTCCCTCAGAACAGTTGTCATACTTAGTAGAACTTGCTAAGTTGCAGTCTGCACTCTCAGAGCTGCTGAGGACTCTAACCTGCTTTCTTCAGCCCCTTCCAGCTCCAGACCCTGAGACTGCTAAGCAAAGCTGTGAGTTGGTAGCTAGGCTTCAAAATCATGACATTAGTCTGGGAGAGTTAATGCCCTCAAAGTACTTAATTTTCTCCTGGGGAATCATGTGTTTATTGGTAGGAAATAAATGACTAAGCAATAATTATCAACCCCCTGAGATGATTCTAGCACAGGCAAGCAAATAGACCTAGAGGACAATGTGCACTTCAAAGCTTACTGTGAAATAAAGGAGGCAAACAGCATTTTCTTTGAATAATGGAGGATACATCATGACATCATTTTTTCTCTGTTATTATGTTTCCCCTGAACATGATAGGGCTTCTTTTCTGGATTTCATGGCAAATATTTCACACTTGAAACTACTGAGTAATAGATTCAAATGCAGTTGAATGAAAATGCTCTGTGTACCCTTCATTTTCTCTGGCTGAAGAGGATACCATGAATAAATCTCCTTCTACATATCTGGCCTTGACATACCATTATATTTGAATTTCCACTCATAGCAAAAATGTCATCTCTGTGAACTATAATTGTAAACACCTTGAGTAAAGTGAGTGCTTCCACCTTTATTAAAACACAAATCAATACATCAATCAAAATGCATTTATTAAATATTTCCTGTAGAGAAGATGCTGTCTTAGGCATAGCAGAGTACAAAGTTGAGTGTAAGACATGATCCCTCTCCTCACTGCTCTTAGAAAACTATCACTTCATGCTTTTAGCATTAGATCCATTTATAATAAAGAATTATATTAATAGAGCCTAAGAATTCCAATTGCTAGATAAGAATCATATAAAAAGTAGAAAAACTTTAGAAATCATTAAATTGTTTAATATCTAAGATTTTTAATTTTTTTCAAAATAGAAATTTGTGTGCTGCCTTCAAAGTGAATTTTATGTGCTAAGATTTCCATTCGAATGACTTTGTTTCTATTTGAAGTTATAATACAGTTGCATAAGAAACTAAATTCCAACTCTTCAAAATGCTTTTTCTAATTATTTCAACATTTTCCACTGACCTTTCTTCTATTTTCATGAGGAAAGAGGGAAATGATGGGAAAAGGGAGGAACAGTGGAATGAAACTGACCTAACTATCCTAAGTACATATATGAATAAACCACAGTGCATTTCAGCTTTACGTATATCTATAAGGCACTGATTTAAAATAAACTGAGACTAAATAGAAGAAACACCAGTAGAGTAGAGGAAAGGGAACAGGCGGAGAGAGGGTGGCAGGGAAAGAGGAGTACTGGGGATTGAACTGGAACAAATAATATTCCATGTTTGTATGATTATGTCAAAATTAACCCTAATATTGTGAATAACTATAATACACTAATAAAAATTTAAAGCAAAAAAACTTGCTATAGATCATATATTCACAGGAAATGATGTCAGATTCCTAGTTTTGAAGATATCAAACGTGTACCATTGGATATTTTCTTGAACTAAATCCCCAAATAAAGTGAAGCAGGATGTTTCAGCAGAGCTCAGGTGGAGGTGCTGCCAGGTTAGTGTCAGGGATACTGCCAGGAGTGGGGGGCATCTCTCTTCCAGAAGGCTCTGGTCCTCTTGAGCCCCCGCAGATGTCATATTCTTTGTTTATATTCTATTCGGCATTGATCATCTGGCTGGGGGACACCCACCAAATGGAGATAACTCTACAAACAAAAATACAGAAGAAATAGAAAAGAGACATAAGCTAGTGACTTAAAGTTTATTCAATTGCAATTTTATCTAAAAGGAACTGAACTTCAGTTGTGAAGGTTGGGAACTGTTTGCATTGGAGAGTTTCTCCTCAAGCATCAACTTTAGCCTTCATTGAAGAAGCAGAAAAAGAAAATACCTTATTTTGATAACAATCTCTTCAAATTCACACACCCAAGTTCATGGGCCTGCTTGCTATCTTCCCTTCAATTTCCCTGACTAAAGAGGATATCAATAAGGCTCCTTCTACGTTTCTGGTTCAAAAGCTATACCACCTCATTTACAATTGTTAGCTGAGAGCTCTGTGTGTGTTAAAGGTATTTAAAAAGCTTCCAGAGTTGGTATAAACCATGATTACAGTGTACTTACAACCATGATGTTCCAAAAAGACGGGTTCCAAATATTGTGAATTGTTTTCCCCTGAGTTCTGAACAAAGTATGAATATGTGTGGGGGTGAACGGAGGTAAGCGTATTAAGAATACAGTAAAGATTTTTGGTACTTAAGAAATTAAAAATGAAAAGCAGCCTGTTCTATAGACTTTGAGAGTTTAGGGGGTGGTAATGGGGAGCTGGGAAAGAGGAGGTAGGGCACAGAATGGGCTCCTTAGCAAGGCAATTCTCAGGAGAGTTGATAGAATGAGGAGCAGGGTTCCACAAGCTCACTGAAATTGTACCCACAATTTTGTATAAAGAAATATGTACTTTTCTAGAAGGGGTTCCATAAGTGTTGTGAAAATATTTTTAGAATCTGTGACCCCCCCAAAAGATAAAATGGAACAAAAACAGTCAAACCAGTAAAAATCCACTACAGTAGCAAAATGTTCAAAATGGAACAGCCCCCACTTCCAGGATCAGGAACCTGCTGCCAATCACGGATTCTACTTCATAGTGTTTCCTCATTGATTGGTTCATATTGGGAGGGAATTGAAACTAAAATAATCTCTCACAACCCTCTGAGATAAAATAAAACACTGGGGGGCTGGAGATGTAGCTCAGGGGTAGAGCATTTGCTTAGAACCCCGTGAAGCCCTTGATTGGATCCCTAGAACCTCAACACATAAAACACTGAAATGTTTTAAAAATTAAAACTGGGGAATCTACAGTTTGATTTTTGCTACTAGGGCAGGTAGACTCCTGTGGGGAAGCAGATTTCCAAGTCCACTGACCTCCCTGCACCTGACCACAGAGTGTTCAGATACTTCTGATAGCTCACTTCCTCCTTCTAAGAGGTTGGCAGTTTGAAGGTCATATCCTGCATTTGTATTGATCACCTGGTTTTACAATTTATTAAAGCAACTCCAATCATTGATCTTTCTCTTCCTAGAATAAGGATTGTGAAATGAACTGCTCTTTGAGATTATAAAAATCCACCTCAACTTGTACTTATTTCAAACTGAGATAACATTTGTTTAATAATGTTCTTAGTGTCATCAGAATATAAATAAGATGTACAAAAACTTGTCTAGGAAAGTGTAGCTAATGGAATTCTTATGTAGAAAGAAAGTACTAGGAGAAAATTTTGCCTACGTAGATGATACAAATTATTGATCTCTCTGGTTTTGACAAATGTCATCTCAGTGAAGCATTCCTATTTCCTCTTGCTGGCAGAAAAATAGCTGGATATTGTCAGTCCTGGGAAAAAATTGTGAAATCTAACCTGCCTCTGATCTTCATTTTGAACAATACAGCAGGCAGCTGAGGACTTTGTGAGAGGTGGTTTAGAGTTGCCTTTCAGTGTAAATTTTGAGAGCTCTTCATCACTAGTAGTTACTTGAACTTAAAATACAAGTGCAAAAGAAGTCTAAGGAAAATGCTGAAATGTGCATGCTTGAAATATATTTTATGTCACTTATACACCCACATAATTTCTACTGAAATATCAAGAGTTTTAGTTATCCTTGGTATATTAGCCTTATTATATGAAGAGTAAATGAAAGCACAAAATGTTATATGGCTAGCCATGAACTTGTGCTGCTTAATTTCTGTTTAAGCCCCTAACATTGGAAGTAGTAGAAACACTATTAGGTCCTGGCATGGATTAGACAGCACCTTTTATCCAGAGTTTTTTAAATGACTTCCAAACATCTGGAATTAAGTTGAACTTGCCTTTATTACTTATGAAGGAATCTTCAAAGTGTGGTACCCAGACCAAGAGCAGCAGTAGCACTTGGAACCTATCAGAAATGGAAATAATAGAGACCCCGTCCCAAGAACTACTGAGAAGGAGCTCAAGAGATGGGGCAGCAGTCTATTTTGTAAGCCCTTTAAGTGATTCTGAAGCTCCTGCCAATTTGGGAACCACAGGTCGAGAAGAAAAGGTGCACAGAGGAGTTAAATGACTGGAACACTCAATGGTCAGAGGTAGGTGTAAAGTCACAACCTTTTTATTTCTGCTCTTTAGTTTTATAGGGAGCTGACTTTTTTCCAAGCTATTGCTTTCCACATGGACCAAGGGCTATGACTTGCATCCAAAATAGATGATTCACTTTTGTACCAAAGAAAACATTCCTTTCTAGGGAAAAGGGGTCAAATTTAAGGCCATGTTTACTTAACCTAGGGAAAAGGGTAAAAGTTGGTAAATCTATTGAGGACCCCCTAAAATTGGAAGTAGTAGAAACACTATTAGATCCTAGTGTCGATTAGATCTTGAATTAAAAGGACCCAGTGTGTTCTCAGTCTGGTTCCACCTAAGGTACATGTTTAGATCAGGCCAAAGTGAGGAAATCAGTCGGCTCATCTCTAGAATTTAAAACCAAGGACTAGAGCTTATATTAAATCTGAAAGCTGTCATTATAGTCAAGATTCTGAATACATTTACCTGTTTTGGTAATGGGTCCAGAAGAGTACAGTCATATTTATAAAGTATTAAAATAATACATATTTGAATCTCTAACAGAGCAAACCACCTGAAAGAAAAATATAAAATTGTTATTTGGTTGTGAAAGATACATAAATACCTATTATCAGAGTATGGAGAAAGTATATGTATGTGAGAGCAAATGTGCTTTTTATCTTTCACTAACAAAAGGGTAAACTAAGAACTTACTATTTTTTTAACACCACATACTCATTAGGGCAACTAGTATGATGAAGTTATTTTAGATGTATATAAAAACGCTTTGCCAATGGAAGCACTCAATAAATGAAAGCCTCAGGTCTCTCCCCTAAGTTTTAGGTCTGTGCTTTTTAATATTGTAGCCATTAGTTACATGAGGCTATTTAAATTTAAATACATTAAATTAAACAGAATGAAAAATTCAGTTTCTCAGTTGCACTGGCCATATTTTAAGTGCTTAATAGCCATGTCTGGCTGCAGGCTACCATGTTGGATATATTTAGAGCATTCCTGTGATCTGGGGGCCAGAAGGCTCTATTGGAAAGTCCTGCCTGCATTTAGAAATTACTGCTCAAACATCCTACAAGCACCTCAAGGTCTCGAGAAACTCCAAATCCACTCTTCCTTGTTTCAAGAGTCTCCAAGGTTTTGGATTACACAATCCTGGTAGAAAGTATTTAAGCATACCCTGCAATATGTTGCTGTTCACTTATTTTAAGTATGTACATATACTACTCTATTAGTTTACTGTCGATAAGACACAAAAACAAATTCAAAAAACCAAGAAAAGTATGACTGGAACCTGTTACTTTTACTTGTATTTCATGAGTATAAAAGCCCTTTTGGGATTAACAGCCCTTACTGGGTACACTTAGTCCACTGGGCCTAAAAACTGGAAGTCACCATAACCCTGTTCTCTCCATCACCTTCCACATCTAAGTAGACATGTCCTTTTGTTGATCTCCTAAACAATTCCATAGGCCCTCCCCTGAACCTCTCATCTCCAGTTCTTCCTTTGCTCCCTCAGCGTGGTTCCTCATCATTTATTTCCTGGATTGTTGAATCAGTTTAGCTTCCTATTGGTCTCTTTCATTTCCTTCTACTCATCCTTCACTCTATCACTGGAATAAAGTTTCTAAAACACAAATCGTCACTGTTTCCTCATTTAACACACACATACACGCACACACACACACACACACACTTTCAATGTTTCCTATTTCCAGCTAAACATCATAGAAGAGCCCAGCCAGTTCTTGATGATCTACCTGCTTACCTATCTCTGCAACCTTCTTTCCCGCAGAGCTGCCACTTGATATCCATGCTCTTGTCACACTGTATTACCTGAATTCCCAGAACAGGATGCTCTCTGCTGTGAGCCTTTTTCTGTGTTAGGTTCAGTCTCCTCTAGAAGGATTCCCTGATCATCCACTTCCTCTTCGTTTCCTCTCAGCCAAAGCTTCTACTGCACTAAACTGTGATTACTGAAGAGCCATCTCTCCTCTAGAGTAATTGCATTGTTGGGCCTTAACATAGTGTTAAGTAAATACATGAACAGATGATAGGCAGTAGTGTCTTCCATAAAGAATACATCCTTTCTACCCTTCTCTGTGTTTCTGTGTCACTTTACATATCCCTCAACTGATGTCCTTGTCCAAAAATTCTACTATATCCTACTCTAGTTTAGTCATTAGCATTTGTTTCCTCTTATAGAATATAGTTTCCATGAAAAGCAGAAACCATGTTTTATTCACCTTATTCATCTTTGAATCTTCAATATTTGTTAATGAAATGAATTAATAGGAATGATCTGATATTCATGTCAGATAGTTAGATTGTTTCTCCAGTGATGTTCTTGAAACATCTTGGTGATATTTTATTTCAAATGAAATCTGGAGTACTGCAGGTGTTATTATAACCAACTTGGACAACATATCAAATTTTCAGGAATATTTATGATGCAAATTTAATCCTCCTTACTTGCAAATGTTGAAGATAATTTATTCCATAACTGTATCAGTGTCTATGAAAAAAGACATGCTGATTCAGATCAAATTAGGCAGGGACTCCAAGAAAAAGCAATCTTGCTAATTTGTGTGAAGGCACAAAATGTTTCACACCTAAGTTTTTGTCAAACTTCTAACAAGTTAGAGCTTCTACTCCTATTCATGATAGAGTGACAGAAGTCAGTGTTGCCTTCTACTTTACATAACTCAAAAACTAGGCAAAATTCATGATAAAGATCCCTAAGAGAATAGAAAGAAATGAGGTGAGCTGCTTTGGCTGCCTCCATTTGCAGCTTATGGTAGTTTTCAGGCCACAGGATGAGCACGGGAAAACCCATGCAGGCCAGAGGGTATTGTTAAATTACCAGAGACAGAGATCAAGATTCAGGCAATCTAAAGAGAGTAAATTTGTAGGGAAGAATGTAGAGGAGGGAGTTTCATAGAGAGAGAATAAGAACACTTTGGACGTTTGGACAGAGGTCTCCTTGAGTATTTGGCACAGTACTGATCTCAGCATGTGTTAGAAGAAACTACTGAGGCAGGAGATGAATGGCGAAAATACAGTCAAAGTTCAATAAGCTAAATAAGGTCTAGAGCTTATACAAAGCATGGATTTTTTTTCCCCCAAAAGACAGAAGAGAGATATTGCAGCCCACAGACCACTGGGTGGAATCCTAAAAGAGTATTGCCTTAGGTAGTAATGGGATTATATTATCCTATGTTAAATGCCACTCTGGATATAACTTAAAGCTTAAAATTAAGCTTTGAAAACTTGTTTTTCAAGCAACTACATGCCATAATAAAGTCTAAAACTAAACTAAAATAAAACCCAGCATTCATGAAAATTAAACTTCCTATATTATATCTATTTAAAAAACTCCAGGGTTTCTAGAAGTAAACCCACATATCTATAGCCAGCTGATCTTTGGCAAAGATGCTATAAACATGTACTGAAGAAAGGACAGTCTTTTCAATAACTAGCACTAGAAAAAATGGATATTCACATGCAGAAGACTCAAACCAGACTCCTATATCTCACCATATATAAATATCAACTCAAAATTGTTTGAAGACATTGTATATGTACACATAACGTTTATTTATTATTTTATTATTTTTATGTGGTGCTAAAAATTAAATCTAGGCCTCACACTTGCTAGGCAAGTGTTCTACCACTGAGCCACAACCCCAGCCCCTGTTGTTTGTTTTTAAAAGACCTTAAAACATAGGAAGCTAGCCAAAAGAGATAAATGGATTTTATCAAATGAGAAAGCTTCAGCCCAACAGGGGAAACAATTATCAGAGTGAAGAGACAAAATACAGAATGGCAGAAAATATGGGAAAACACACATTGTACAAAGTCTTATCAACCAAAATAGACAAGGAACTCAAAGCAACAGAAAAAAAGAAAAAAAAGCCACAAATAATTGAATTCAAAAATAGGCAACAGACTAAAATTGCCATTTTTTTTTCCTAAGGAAGTGGCCAACAGGTATATGAAAAAGTGTTCAACATCACTCATCATCAGGGGAATGCAAATCAAAACACAATGAAATATAACCTTGCTCCAGTAAGGATGGCTATTGTCAAAGTGACAATAGGTGCTGGTGAGGACATGAGCAAAAGGGAAACTTTGCATTCCACACCATTGGTGGGAATGAAAAACCATTGTGAAAACAGTACAGAAGTTTCTTAAAAAATGAAAAAGAGAACTACCATATGACCCAACAATGCCACTATTGACTATATATCCAAAGGAAAAACATCAGTCTGTCAAAGACTCATTTGCACACGCAAGTTTATTGCAGCAGTATTCACAACAGCCAAGAAATGGAAACAACCAATGAAGTGATAAAGAGAAAGTGGTGGATAAACACACAGAATGCTAGGCAACCATATAAAAAGGATAAAATCATATCATTTCATACAATATGGATGGAACTTGAGGTCATTATGTGAAGTAAAACAGGCTCCTGATAGAAAGACATGTCTCATATGATCTCATTCAAACTAAAAAGTTTATCATATTGAAGTTGAGAGTAGAATGATGGTTACCAGAAGCTGTGAAGGGAAGGGGAGATGGAGAGAAGGGAAATGGTTGATTAAAGGGTACTAGTTTTAGTGTTCTGTTGCATGGTAGGATGATTATAGATAATGATAATATACTGCATACTCTTTTTAAAAAATTAGAAGAAAAGATTTTGCATATATTTACCATAAATAAATGATAAGTGTTTGGGGAGAGTGTTTTATCCTGATTTCAACATTATACAATGTATATATGTATCAACACATCACTCCATAAATATATATAAGTTTAATATATCAATTAACAAGAAAAAAATTGACTAAAGGAAATTAGAACATATGACCTAAGCAAGAGAAAAATCATTTATAAAGAAACAATGAGACAGGTACAGTGACACATGTCTGTAATCCAGCAGCTCAGAAGGCTTGGGCAGGAGGTCAGAGGTTCAAAGCCAGTCTCAGAAACTTAGTGAGGCCCTAAGCAACTCAGTAACACCCTGTCTCAAAAAATAAAATATAAAAAAAGCTGGGAATGTGGCTCAGTGATTAAGTGTCCCTGGTTCAATTCCTGGTACCACAAACAAACAAAGCTCCATAAATAAATAAATAAAGTTTAATTTCAAAAAAGAAAAAAGAAACAATGATAAATATTGGAAGCATTTAAGTATACTCCATATATTCAAAAACGAGGAAGAAAACATACAATGAGGAGAGAAATGGAAAATATAAAAAAATCCAAATCAAACTTCAAGAAAAAAAAATACAGTATCTTAAAAGGAAAGATAAACTGGAAGGGAGTAACAGAAGATAAGATACTGCAAAATAAAATGGCATGGAACTTAACATAATAATGGAAAATATCTAAAATAAAGTACCTAGAATAAAAGGACTCTAAAAGAAGAAATGAAGAGGACATCAGTGACTTACAAAATAATATAAAGTGTCTAACATACATGTAATTAGAGATGGCTAAAGGTAGGAAGGAATAATATTTTAAGAAATAATGGCTGAAATATTTTCAAACTTTTGAAAACTA